AGCGAGCAGGCGGGCGGAGAGAGAGAGAGAGAGAGCGGGCGGGGGAGGGGGAGAGAGAACGGGCGAGAGAGAGAGAGAGAGAGAGAGAGAGAGAGAGAGAGAGAGAGGCAACGTGTCCCCTGGGCGCGCGCGTGTGTGTGTCTCACAGAGAGAGAGAGAGAGAGAGAGAGAGAGAGAGAGAGAGAGAGAGAGAGTGTTTTCCAGCCATGCACACAGACAGATAGAAAGAACCTGCTTCCATCGATGGGATGAGAGAGAGAGAGAGAGAGAAAGAGAGAGAACAGTCTGCCACAGTCATGTTATTCTTGAGTGTACAGCGAGTACGGCGACCAAAAAAAAAAATTATTCAAAAAAACCTGCACTATGACAACAACGGCCCCCTCCTCCTGTTCGTCCCTCTCCTCTGCCGCAGCGTGGCTGCGGCGGGTCCACTTGTATTCCTAATTCGCCTATTACCATTCGACACTATTGGATAGCCCACATAGCTAGGATTGCTCGTCCCTCACTTTATTATGATTTTTTTTTCTTTTCTTTTCCTAATAAAAACTCGAATCTTACTTCAAATTTTCAAACTTCATTCGGAATTAACCTTAATTAATTTGGAATTTGCAAAATTATTTATTTTTTTGTCTGATATCTCAAACTTTTCACCTCTTTTTTGAAATTTTCTTTTTTGACATTCAAAATAGTGAAACTTTCACACCCTTGGTGATTACTCGAGTCCCTAATGAATTCTTTTTTGCAATTTTTGTAATTCAGAAATACTTCAGAATCTAGGCTACCAGCCGGGCCGCGTGGGTCTATTTTCCCGGGCGGCCTGGCCGTGCACGGATGAGGGAAGGTCCCAGCCCCCCCCAAAAAAAACCGAAAAAGAACTATTTTATGCAGAAAAGTAAACTGAATGACTTTTTTTTCTCCTTTTTTTTTTTTTTTTTTTTCAAAAGGGTGACGGTCTTGAGATATCATCATTGAGCTAACAATTGTCTACTAGCCATACTCTACGTGTCTCTCTCTCTCTCTTTTGGTAGTCTCTCTGTCTTTCTTCTCTGTGTTTCTTCATTATCCCCTGATGATTCCGATGTGCCGGCCGGATGAAACGCAGCGTAGGGTCGCTGCGCCATGCATATCACGATGTTTTCTATGTTTCGGCGGTGCTATACTTAGTATGTTTTGGCCGTGGAACTTGTCGTCTGTCTTTATTTGTCTTTGTATGTGCTTGAGACCTATCCTGTCCGTTTGTTGCTTTGGTTTGACGTTGTCTTCACCAGCATCTCACGTTGTAACCACCGTAAGAATAGCATTACGGGTGTGTGGCCACGTTCCTAGTATTATACAACGGTCTACTAGCCATACTCTACTAGCCATACTCTACGTGTGTCTCTCTCTCTTTTGCTAGTCTCTCTCTTTCTTCTCTGTGTTTCTTCATTATCCCCTGATGATTCCGGTGTGGCGGCCGGATGAAACGCA